TTTATTCAACTTTGAAATTCAACACAAATTATAAAAGACAAATAAATCTTAGTAACAAGTTTTTATTACGAAAATACCATTCATAATTTATAAAATAAAAAATAAAAAAATCAAACATTTGTTTGAAACCACGGCCGCGGAAGCTGCGGAAGCACCGGATCGTGCTCGGCGGAGGTGTGGAGGCCGGAATTTAGGTAAAAATCAGATTAAAAATCAAAAGTTGAAAAAAAACTCAAATTTTTTTGATTTTTTGTTAGAAAAAATATATATGATGTTAGATCTACTAGTTTTAGGCAAAATCTAGTTGAAAACGAGTTAAATACAGTAAAAACGAACTAAAAATGGCTGGCCGCCATTGTTAGGGTTTGAGAAAAACTTGGTGTTTTGTGGAGAAGATGAAAGGTAAATTACGATTTTACCATTTATTGAATAAATCTACCACTACTATATATAAGTCTACCATATATTATAAATCTACCACTACTACGACTATAAATAAGTCTACCACATATTATAAATCTACCACTACTATAAATAAATCTACCACTACTATAAATAAATCTACCAACTAAAGGTTGTTTAGTAAAGACGTGAAAATATTGAATAAATCTACCACTACAATAAATAAATCTACCACATATTATAACTCTACCACTAGTATAAATAAGTTTACGATTGCGTGAACCATCAATAAGTCTACCGATCACAAAATAACTCTACCACAACTACTAATAAGTCTATCACTCAAAAATAAATTTACCACTACTGTAAATAAGTCTACGATGACGTGAACCATCAATAAGTCTACCGATCACAAAATTAACTCTACCACCACTAGAAATAAGTCTACTGACACAAAATTAACTTTACCACTACTACAAATAAGTCAACCACAATTTATAAATCTACCATCACTATAAATAATTCTACCATTGCGCGAACCATCAATAAGTCTACCGATCACAAAATTAACTCTACCACTACTACTAATAAGTCTATCACTCAAAAATAAATCTACCACTACTATAAATAAGTATACGATTGCGCGAACCATCAATAAGTCTACCGATCACAAAATTAATTCTACCACCAGTAGAAATAAGTCTACTGATCACAAAATTAACTCTACCACTACTACAAATAAGTCTACCACATTTTATAAATCTACCACCAATATAAATAAGTCTACCATTGCGCGAACCATCAATAAATCTACTGATCACAAAATTAACTCTACCACTACTACTAATAAGTCTATCACTCAAAAATAAATCTACCACTACTATAAATAAATCTACGACTGCGCGAACCATCAATAAATCTACCGATCANAAAATTAACTCTACCACCACTAGAAATAAGTCTACCGATCACAAAATTAACTCTACCACTATGAGAAATAAGTCTACCACATATTATAAATCTACCACTACTATAAATAAGTCTACCATTGCGCGAACCATCAATAAGTCTACCAACCACTTAATAAATCTACCAATCGCAAATAAATCTACCATCACATGAACGGTAGACTTATTCGCTGCCTTATTAATGACATTTTCATAAATACGTTTTTTCTTTTCAAAAAAAATAAGGCTAAAACGGGTATTAATAATTTTTTAAGATTGTTTGAGTAATTTTCAAACAATAGCATCATTTTGGTCAAAAATCAACTTTGTAAGGTTGTTTTAATAAAGCTCTCTTTTTAATCATCTTTAGTAATTATAGCATTGGCAAAGCTCAAGTATGATGATGATACCTCTCTACTTCTTTCTACTCTTTTGATTTTGAAGAAAATATCTTCTTCTTTTTTTTAACTTTTGAATCTACACTTGTTGCAGGCCATGAGCTTACTAAGAGCTTCCTTGATCACAAACTCTGCATTATCCAATGGACACACCAACTTTCTCTCGAAGATGAAGCCAAAAGAAGCATCTCCATCAACATTTAAAATATCAAAATCTGAAGAAAATCCTTTGAAGCATCTCATGTTAATGGTTTTAAGTGTTTTGTTAATTATGTAATGAAATTATATATCATTACATAAATACACCTTGTGTTTTACAATTATCCATCTCTTCTAATTTTTTACTTTTACATATTGTCTACATAATTACCAGACCTCTATGCCTCTGTTTCCTAAAGAGTTTGCAAGACCGCATGAGTTTGTTGAATAGTACATGTCACAATGGTCTAAATATTAGTCTCAGTCTTTCAAACATCTCCATGATAAGTGGATAAGATTAATCAAATCCCTAGAAAATTTGTCTTCTGCAACACGTTGTCGTTTTGTATATGGTTGTGTGATTCAAGCTCTATTGTGGATTGGACATTGAAACGAGATGGGGGGGGGGGGGTGAGATACATCTTTCTCAAAAATTTAATCAAACTCTTCAAAAAAGAGACATTATTCTCTGGAGATTAATCAATGCAGTTATTAAAGGAGCCGTATCTACTAAATCTGATATTACTGGTGATAACTGGACGGCTTCCTCTTTAATCGATGCAATTTTATGGAAAATATACACAAAATCCTTTGGTAATCCTTTGAAGCATCTCATGTTAATGGTTTTAAGTAAAAACGTCTACAACTTAAATTCTACCGCAACTACAACCGAACCAATCATACACGATAGCTCTCTCTCCAAGAATTTGATCAAATTATGGAAATCACCATAACTCTGTTTTTCTGCAACCATAGACTTTTTTTGTCTACATCTCTTGAAGACCTTCCCTGCTGGTTCAGAGTCATCTTTTACCAATATCCCAACAAATATCTTGAGTCCTCCATTTAGAAGACAAAAACAATTACTTAATCAAAGAAACATTTGAGTAGTCGGAGCATTATTCCACCCGTACAGTGTTTATTCCTTTTCACTAGTCGCTACCCAAAATCCAACAATTGGAATGTAGAAAATAATAAATTCAATAATAAGTAGTTTAGATTTATAAGTGGCCGCTTTTAGTTGTGTTTGCCATCGTTAAACTGTGCGTTTTTGGAAGACTTGAAAGTTTGAAGAAACTCTTTAGCCTTTTGCAATTCCTGCTTCTGCCTCGACTTGTCCCACTTGTGTTCACTTGCTAGAATCTCCACCACACGCTGCAACGCCCGCGCAGCTGCGTCTGTGTCCAAGAATGCGATTCTACATCTCCTAGCTATGAAATCAACCGCTGATTCGCAGTACTCGTGCCTTGCACAGTAAGCAACCTCTGCTTCCAGGAACGGGTGTCCGTGTGCCAACCGTTTCCCCAAACCCTCCTCCTGCATTAGGAAAATATAATCAGAAAACCAGAATCTACAGAGGAAATGAAGAAGAAAGAGTCTGGTATAGAACCGAACCTGAGCTATGGTGGCGACCCGTTCAGCCATTGAACCATAGGCATGAGACAAATGCTTAGCAGCAGCTGTGTCCATTGCTCCAGGAACCACTTTACCACCGTAGGTTTTCTTCATGCGCACGTATTGCTGTGCAAGAGCTGTGAAGGAAGATGGTTCCCATCCATGAGAACCAAGAAGCTGTAGTTTCTGTGTTACACATTCATTGCTTGGGGTCAGCTTTCCTGATTTGATTGCTGCATCAACCGCATCTTCAGCCATGCTGAAATTAATATACCGATGAGCAATAATAACAAAACTTTTAACAACATTCTAGTATTTTCTACAATTCCTTCACCTTCGATAAGTTGTCCATTTTCCACCCGTGATTGTAACCAGACCAGGACATTCCTCGAAGACAACATGGTCTCTGGAGATACTCTCTGTGCTCTTTGCTGTGGGATCCATGGCCAATGGACGGATGCCACTCCAAGCCGAAAGAACATCAGTACGTCGAACCTAGTTAAATTTTATGATGGGAGATATCATCAGCTGAACAATAATTGTTTGAGAGAGATATGGTCCAGAATTGAATTGATTATTCAATTTTAAGCTGAATCTGGACATACCTTGATGTTAAGATAGTCGCTGATTGCATCCAGTATAAATTGAATCTCATCTTCATGAGGTTCTGGAAGCGCAGTGATTGACGTGTTAGAATCTGTAGTACCTGCCACTGTTCTTCCCAACCACGGTAACATAAACACAACACGACCATCCTTAGTTTTAGGGACTATCAAGCCCATCCCATCTGGAGAATAGTAATCAGGCAGCACAATGTGTACACCGCTGCTAGGACATATCATCGGTTTTGTATCTTCATCAACCATCTTCCGGATGGAATCACAGAACGGTCCAGCCGCATTAACAACTACTTTTGCATAGCTGTCAAACTCTTTGCCTGTTGAAATGACGCATCTCATTAATAACTGCACAAATCATGACGGAGCAAAAGATATACCAAATTCAAGAAGTTGCTAGTCATCGTACCTGTGAGATTGTTACGAACCCTAGCACCAATTATTCTCTTCGTAGCATCGTCTGTGATAAGCGACACAACTTCGGCATGGTTGAGAACTGCAGCACCAGCTAATGCAGCAGTACATGCCAAACCCACATTGAGACGTGAATCATTCATTTGCCCGTCATAATACACAACAGTACCCCTCAAATTTTTGTCTTTCCCTTTCCTTGCAAGAGTGGGAAAGAGCTCAACAGATTCGTTTGCAGAGTAATATCTGGACAGATGCAAAAGGCGTGGTCCTGCGACCAAGTCATACATCTTCAATCCCACCCAGAAGTAGATGACTTCAAACCAGTCGAAACAAGGTGTCATACAAGGCAGAGCATGGCAGAGATGTGGCGCATTCTCAATGAGCTGTTTACGCTCCTCAAGCGCGTGAAATACAAGCTTTAGCTGTCCGTAATCAAGATTGAAAACAGCTTTCTCCAAGTATCGAACCCCTAATCAAAGATCAGTGTAAACGAACACTAACATTATTATACATTCCTTCAAATTAATGAAAGTAACAAAAAATAACAACAACAATGTAGTCATCTATCAATTCTTCAATTGTTCTTCTGGTAATTCCAAACATTGTCTTTACCAGATTGATAACGAGAGAGAGATTTCACCAAAATTTTCCAACACCTAAAATCTAAATTCGTCAATAAAACAAACGTACGATTACCTCCATGAATAAGCTTCGTTGATCGCGAAGAGGTACCAGAAGAGAAATCCTCTCGCTCTACCAAACCAACATGGAGTCCACGTGTAGCAGCGTCGAGAGCGACACCAGAACCGGTGGCTCCACCGCCGATAACGAGTACATCGAGCGGATTAGAAGAGGTGGCTCCAATCAGTACAGACTCTTGAGCAGATCGAGAAGGTAAAGAAGCGGTGGGATCACCAATCCTACGCCTCAACGAATCTAGAATCGGACCACCGCCTCTGTCGCTGGAGGCAACCGACGGCGAAAGGTAAACAGCGCCACCGGATGCAGCTGCAATTACGGCGGCTCCGGCGGCTAAACGGCGAATGGAAGCGACTGACATGGATCGTGGAGAGATTTAGAATTTGGCGAAGAAGATTGCGTTGGGAAGCGAAGCGATCATTT